AAAAGTGACTATACTGCGAGAGACCACAGGGTTGCTGACCGAACTACACCTGTATTGGAAGCAGAAGGCAACACACCTGTTCACACACTTCTATTTTCATTGTTATCCTTCTAACCTCTTTGTATGGCACAGCTACCTGGCCAGTCGAGCTATTATTGTCAGATATAGGCTTCAGGGAGATGGCTTTCCTAGAAAACCAACAAACCAGGTGAATGAAAAAAAAAATACAAACGTCCCTGATACTTATCTTAAGAATGCATTAGTAAATTTTTCCGTTTTACAAAAAAAAAATTATATAAATATATTATAATAAATAAAATCAAGTTAAAAATGGCGTAATGAACCAATGAAGTTTTACGTAATTAAACAAATCTCTCCGTTTTGACTCATTTTATGGCCACCACATGACGCTTCAAAATTAGGAAAATTTACTTTTTGCTGATTCAGTAACATTACTGTAGTAGAATATCTGATAATAATTTTCGCTACAAAATTTAATTGATTAATTTTAAATTTGTCAACTATAACTGTTTAAGAAAAAAGTCTTGCTTAGCAGTGTAAAATCGTCTATTTAAAATATCCATAGCAATAAAAGTTTTATTTACATGGCCTAAAAACTAAATTAAACTTGGTTCACGATAATTGTTAAAGTAATTATTTTGACTGAAAAGAAGTAATCTATCTCAATTACTAGGTTTTCTAATCAACAAAAAACTAATTTTTCTTAATTCGTTGTCAGAATTTCAACGTCATTTCTGAGCGTGAATTCATGCGGCGCTAACGAAATATTAATATAATTTACATAAAAGTAATGAGAATAGGGTAGAAGCTACGAAGAATTATATAGTCATTAGAGTTGAAGACGGTCCTCGAACAAGTGGATGATTTCAAATACCTACGCGAGCATACTTGCGTATGCCATGAAAATGGTTATATTGATACGATATTGATAGGATGATAGGTGCTGTCAAGGTTGGCTTCTTGAACAGACGAGAGGTGGACAAGGAGGCTAAAGTGGCTGCGTTTAGGTCAGCGTTTCTTTTCCATTCTGACGCATTCCTCAGAACCATGGACGCTAAGAAAAAAACATCTATCAAGAATACAAGCGTCGGAAATGAGATTTCTCAGAAAAATTGAGGAGAAAACAAGAAGAGACTGACGTTGAACAGAAGAGACAGCCGATGAAGTTGTAGAAGAGAACATACTAAAATGGCTTGGGCATCTAAGAATGGAACCTACCAGAATTGCTGGAGAGGTCTATCAAGAGGAAAAGGTCGACCAACAAGAAGTAAATGGGAAGAAGGATTTCCTGAGAAGAGGATGAGCGAAGAAAAATCTATATACTTCCTCCTCACACTGCACGAGAGGAGAGAATATGATGATGGTACAAAAGTAGTTAGTTTATTTCATCAAAGTGAATATTTAATTATAATGAAAAATTTGTATTATTTCTCTCACCCTGTTTTCTCCGAATAAAAATATTTACTTTAAAATATAGTTTATTAATGTAGCAGTATGAATCTCGTAAAGGTTGACTGGAATCTCCTGTCCATACTATTCCCCAGATGCACTATTATCATATAATAATACACTATGTTTTATATATATATATATATATATATATATATATATATATATATATATATATATATATATATTTACAACTTTTCTTTAATCGACCTTTGAGTGTTACATTTTAACATAATTATTTAATTGAGAATAAGGTCGCTTACTAATTATTCAATACACTACTAAATGTTCATTGCTTCTGTGTTTATTCGACGTTTCGATTCCGTTTTTTTAAATAAGTTGACAATGGGTTTTTTATAAGTTGACAACCCTCTTCAAAGCTAGAACAACAAATAGCTCAATCGGTACACAATTATGCTTCCATGTGTTGCTAATAACAATTATTTCAAAATTTAACCTATTTTTAAAATAGAGCCCCGATAATATATATATATATATATATATATATATATATATATATATATAATTTTGAAATAATTGTTATTAGAAACATATGGAAGCATAATTGTGTACCGATTATGTAAATTTGTCCTTTATCACTTGAATTATATTGTAGCTAAAATTAACAAATTTTTTTTTATACAATTTCCCAATTTTCTCAACAGAAAAAAAATCGCGTTCTGGCCGAGATTAAACTAGCAAAACAAAATTATGAGAAAATCACACTTCTTAATAAATACTGTGTTATTTTCAAATGATACACACGTTAAAAAAATTTTGTTTGCATGAGAATCAATAAGTGTTGACACCCATACAAAAGAATTATCCCTCAAATGTAAATAGCTTGTTGCGTAGAGGGTTATTATAAAGAAAACAGGAAATTCCTATATCATTTTCCGAATAACACAATTATTAACTCTTGAAATCTCCTCAGTGCCACATGAAGTAGTTTGTTCGATTTTTCCAACGGTAGCTGACAAGCGACAAGTTATCTTTTGATTTACTCATTCGTTGTTCCAAAGTTGAAAGGAGCGTTTGAAACGGTACTCCGATCCGTAGCGATATGTCTACATATATTTTTTTCTTTTTTGTGACGGGAGTTTAAAAGCCCGGTGTCACGGAGGCGTCTTGTCTGGTATAATTCGGTCGTAAATTGTTAGCAGGGAGGCCATATCTCTTTTCCTGATTTGACTCTCGCTTTCCACCTGAGTTATTGATATGTCCAATAGTTTTCCCTATAGGAATTGAATACATTTTTTTTTAGATGTCGTGTCAGTTTTACGGATAGCTATGTCAGAACTGTCCGAGAAAAAGAAATAAACATTTTACTTGATTAGGGATCGATGAAGATTGTGAGAATGGGACTTGAACTTGTCTGGATCAAGTACTGCGGTTTTCCTGAGGATATCAAGTGCCCTGTCTTCTGCTGCTGAGTATTTATAGAAGTCATTATGGCATGAAAAGGTTATTGACGTTTAACCTTTTAAGTCGTTAGTCCTGCTTCAGCAGAATTATTTTTTCCTCTTCAAATCGTAATCAATTAATGAAAAAATAATGTTATTCTGCGACTACAGTCTCCTAATAATAATAATAACAGAGTAACTTGTTTATGAGTCTTAGCCTGGTTTAAAAGAATACAAAATACAAACTGATTAACTTTTGATTGTCATTGCAATTGTGCGGTTGATTGAATTAATTAGTGTACAGATCTACGGTGGTAGAACAGGATTTGTATGAAGGAATTTTAGGACGAGGATGGACGTATAGAAGTAGGTAAAGAGTTCCAAAAGAAGGTAGAATGGGGGGGGGGAGGATAGGAATAAATAAACTATAGATTGAGACCTGGTATTGAGTGAATAGATAGAGGAACTTAGAGTAAGTAATTTCAGGGTGTAGGGAGATTTTTTGGTTCTGATGACATGAAAAAAGAAAATACCAAGGAGAAATTGTCATCGGGAAGTAGAATAAAGCTACTTCAACTCGGTTTACGGAATGAAATATGAGAACGCCTGGTGACCCCGAAGATGTATCTTATGATGTTCATGGGTTTCTTCAGTCTCGTTTCAAGCCCGACATATAGCCCTCTATTCACCAAGCAGCCGTAGTCGAAGTGGAGGAATATAAAGGAGGTTATAAGGAGCTGTCTGGTTTTTAGAGAAATACAATCACGGAATCTTAGGAGTTATTTAAGGACAGTAATGGATTTTCTGGTAATCTGGAAGATATGGCTATTCCAGGAGAGGTTCTGGTGAAAGGTTACTCCTAGGTTTTTGACTGCATGGAAAAATGGATGGGGCGAATATTGAGGTAAAGCAGAGGAAAGTAAACCTATGAGATGCCGGTAATCCGCACCTGTCATTTATTTGGCTAAAAGCAGATAACAATATTTTAGTGATTTTGGAAAATGGCATTTCAGTCACGAGAAAAATTAGTACCCAGCAGCACCTCTTTTTAGAATTCATTTGCTTCCTTAATAATTCTTTTTAGTCGCCTCCTTGAAGGACATGTTAATTATGGTCATGTCATTTATTTGTTGTGTCCATGTAGTTTAATATGAAATCGGACTAAAGAGTACGAAGGTTTTTTTTTTTCAAAAGTTGGTCATCATAATTCGGTATGTCTAGTTTTGTTGTTTACGTACCAGGGAGTTGGTGTTATTATTCCTCGTAAAATTTTGGATTGAAAGGATTTTAGTTTTTTGTTAATTCGTCTTTTTTACTGAACCGTTGATGAGTAATTTGTTCTAATTTTCAACTTTTATTTGGAAAAAAAGTGAAAATAGCATTTTCAGACGCATCAAATTTCAGGTCGTATGTAAAAATTGAATTTTTTTACAGAAGATTATACAAATTGATTATTTCTTCATGGTTTATTAATATTATTTCCCATAGTGGCAGACTACTTATCGTAGTTGCAGACTAAAAAATGTCACCTTTAGCACAAATAGAATAAACATGTAAAATTTTTACACACATCCTTTTGCACCAACAGTAGTAATATGCCATTCTACTAATTGTGAAATGGATAGATTTTCGAGATTGAGGGTTTTACAAGTAAGCGAATAAAATGTATGATAACGTGGAGATCTGGTCTTTAATTATGATGAAGTATAAATAATATTATTCATATTATATAATAATTATGTGATATCTTTACATGATATTTTTGTTATATATTTTATAAAGGTTTCGTTTATAAAGGTTAGTTTTTCGTGGTAAATTTAATATTTGACAAAGGCTCCGAAATATTATCCGTGGTTTCTTTAAACGGCTCTCGTAAATATATCTAGTTTATAAATAATTAAGATACATAAGAGTAGATACGTACTGTGAAAGTTCTCATACGGGGATACTAGTTCCTATTATATTTTAGGAGAAGTAATTAGTTCAAAGGAGTCAAAAAGTGTCAAGTAAGAAGGTTCATTAATCGCCGAATATGTTTGTTTGATGATTCTAATTGAGGCTTCCGTGACAACTTGTTTGGCCTGTCACCGCTCCGATATGAATAACCTACGAGCTCCCTAATATTTCATGAAGAACCGTTTCATCAGAGTGTTACATCAGCAGTTCAATACCGGCTCCTCTGCTGGCATGTTGCTCTTCTGGCTGGGTGCCCTATCATCCACGATCTGGAAGAACTCCGTCCTCGTTCGGGAAGTCCATTTCTGGCTCTATACCGTTATCCTGGAGTTCGCGGAGCTGTTGTCCTTCTTGCTCAAGAATTCCTTCAGCATACTCGTCATCTACATCATGGTGAGGATCGCTACTAACGCCCTGGTCAATCATTGGAGGATGTGGGAGAACATGCATCGTCTGGAAGAACTCTTCCAGGAGTTGGAGAAGGAGCTAAACAACGCGGAGAAGAAATTGAATGTCGACTCTTCGGAACCAAGAAACCAAGTCCCAACCGCTAATGGATGATGAACATTTTTTTTTCTTTTTTTCAAGAATGATAGATTTTCGTTATCTATACGAATTTATTTTAGGGAATTGTATTATTTCATATGATATCTTATTCGTTTGTCGGTTTGTTCATATTGCTTCTAGCTTTTATATTTGATATATTCATCTTTTAAAATATTTCAAAAAAGCCAAAAACTATATTTTTTATCTCACTTATAATATCAAAATCAAACTGTTATAAAAGAATTAAGAACTTTTTTGTTTGTAGGACATATTTTCGAAAATCGCTAATTATTTCAATAGTGATTAAAAAAACTTTGGCATTTGAATAGGGCCATTTTTAGGAAGAACTAAACTTCGAGGCCAGTTTTTGAACAAAAAAACGCTAATTGGATTCGTTTTGGAAAGAAAAAATATTGTACGATTCGAAGGGGTAGGAGAGCTATTAAAATTGTGCTATAAAAATGTTATTTTTGTTTTGTTGTAAATTTAATTTACATTTGGATAAAAAAGGTTTTGAATAAAAATAAATAAGTAAGAAATGCAAGTTTCTTCTCCTGAAAAAATGTCTAATTTCGGAAAAAAAGGACGCCATTTTTTAAATATTTAGGTTTGTTAAAAAAAATGTACCATCGGATTTATTGGGTGTTAAAACTTCGGTATCAATGCTTGTCTTAATTCCCGAAAAAATCGATCAGAGTTCACTTAGTTAATAAGCAACTCCTTTGATAGATTTAAAAAATGTCACAAAGTTCTTATAGCCTAGCATGCAAGTTCGTTAAATTTTGTCAATTTTTTGACAAACTTTAGTAATAAATTAATCGTAATGCAAGCCATGAAAACAAAACAAAATGCTGTCTCCTCTCTGTTCTGCTTTTGGTCATGTAAACTACCATAAAATCAAGCAATAAAATATATGGTGGTCAATTTCTATATGTTTCAGTAGTACTCATTTATATTTCAGTAATAATTTTTGTGGAGTTTTGATTAATTGAACAGCAATATCGTTTGATATCTTAATTAAATAAACTACTTTGATTTTTAAAAATTTATATAGTGTTATTGTTAGTGCAAAAGTAACGATTTTCCATGTTTATTCTATTTGTGCTTGTTGTCTGCAAATGCAATAAGTAATCTCCTACTGTAGAAAATATCAAAGAGAAATAAAATATGAAATTATACTCATAAATCATAAAGAAATAATCGTGCTCTTTAAACAAACTCAATTTTCACATACGGGCTTCTGAACTAATATCAGCGATATTGTTATCAAAAACAGTTTTTGTAATAGAAATATGGTTTGTCGAATATTATTGTTGTTTATCGAATTATTCTTAAAACTTGAATATTTTTTTCTAAATTTATTTTTCCTGATTTTTCTTTGTGTCGCCTTTTCGAAATTTTTATTCATACTCCTAATATTCATTACATTTTCAAACCTATATCTTAATATAGATATCCTTATCTTATGTATCATTCATGAAATACCATGTTAGCTCAATTGCTCAATTTCTATATATTTTACATTTATATTTAACATAGTTTATAAAAGACCAAAGGTAAAATCATATATAATTATTTAATTAAAAATTGTTCATTTAAATTAACCTATTGAAACATATGAACAATTTTCATTCATTAAAATAATGAAATTTTTATCGTTTGTCACTTTTAGATGGTACTGTCTATTATGATTTAGAATATTTTAAGGTAATTGAGATTTTGTAGGATATCAATAAAATGTTGTACAAATATTTATTTTATTATTATTTTTTGTATATAACTTTAATAAATAAAATAAAAACAAAAGAAGTATGGCTTTCTAATATTTTTTTATCGGCCGATAAATTCATTTGTGGGGTGTCAACAAGCTATTTACACATTTTTTTCAAGATCAAGATTCACTAACCCATATGTTCGTCAAACTCTATAAAGAATAGAATTAAATAACATTTAAAAAAATCACAAGTCATAAGTGCTATTAATCTAACGTTAAACTTTTCTCTTAAGGCTTTTTTCTTTACATGTGTGCATGAGAATTGATATTATCTTAGGTTGATTCTTCAATATCTAAGTTGTATTTCCATATTAAGAACCTAATCCAATATTTTTTAGAATATATTGTTGCTTTATTTCAAAAACGTAGCTTAAGTTTTTTTTTTTTTTTTTTTGCGACGCCTTTAATGAAGTTTTGTTGTGATCTTATTAAATGGTACCTAAGCACAGAAAGTGCAATATATCACACAGAACCTTTTTTATATATCAAAAACATATATACTTTACTACGAAAGAAAATTCATCAAAATACTTCGTGATTTAATTTATGCTAAATGTTACATAATGACATTTTGCAATATTGCCAATACTGGTGCAGCCTTGTTACAAACTAATCAATACATGTCTTCAGTCCATGCTCAAGATGATAAATATTGACCTAAAACTTACATACAGTAGATAAAAGATATTTTGCCCAAGAAATGATTAATCGACGTGAGGTATTCAACCTACGAGGTGTGTATTAAGACTTCGATGTAAAGATAGGATAGTAAAGAATATTGATAAAGAGGTTATATGCTCTCAATATTACTTTATTTATAGAAGTCCCGTATCGTCATATATTAGTATGCTATATAAGTCCCAGGTTATCATATCATAATAGTTGAAATAAAATAACTTGTACCTCATCAGTAACAAAAAAAACAGAGGTTCTTGATTGTTTTGTACTCTTGACAGCTAGATTTATTACGAATATGATCAAACATTGACTTTATAAAACTGATGTTATTAACCTTAATATTTTATAAAGTCCCAAAAGACTTTATTATTGTTAAGTCCTAACTATATTTATATTGCATTTCAAACATCGATATTCTGACGCGTCAGAATATTTCAAGTGAGACATACAACGAGCTTCAGTATCGGACAACCATACATATTTAATTTTACTCAGACCTTTTTGCAATATTCATAAGACTTCTGACACGTTATGTACCAATTATTTATACAAGTTCTATCTTGTTCCAAGCTTCTTAATATTTTTTCATATTTTTTAGAAACAAAAAAATAAAATTTCTCTCATATCTTTGGCGGCCAGCGCATACATAGAATAAGTGATGTATCCTATCCACTCACATGTCTTAGATTACTGATGTTCATTCAAAGTCCACTAAAATAATTCTTAGCTTAATCTTTGAATAAAGCTCCTCGAATGTTCAGCAAGATCTTTAATATTCCAGTTATTTGAATAACTAAACAAAATTGAACGGGTTTTCATGGAAACCTGCGTAGAACACAACAAATGCATTTAAAAACATGAGAAAGTTCAATATGTCGTTTCTTTCCAATTAGATACTGGTTCGATTTGAATCTTTTATTCCCTAAAACCGCCCTCATAATAATAAACAATTATTTATTTCTTATAAATGCATTGATCGATGTAACTAGAATTATTTTTTCAAATACTAAGGAAAAATGCTAATTATTTATTTCGTTTAACATCTCTAATTAATAATTTTAAACTTACTTTATCTTCTATAAAAATGAAAAAACCATCTATACGGGTTTTCGAACAAAAGTCATCGAAAATAAAGTATTTTTGAAAGAAAAATTATAACAATATTTTAAAAATTAGATTGTGAAAAAATAATAACTAAAAATGGAAGAAAAATAAATATATTTTATGTATTAATAACATGCAGTAAACGAAAAAATGTTGAACCTAGTTGCCGAAGTTATTACTTATTAAAAAAAAATGGTTTAAAAAATAGTCCTTGCTTGGAATAATCCGTCTTACAAGCGGTTTAGTCAAATTTTAATTCAATAGACCTAGAAAAATCTATATAAATTAAATTATTACTAAACTATCTATTAAGTATTATAGATACTCGATGTGAAGTCCATTTATTACAAAATAACATTAAAAGAAAAATTATCAGGAATTTCATTCGCAATTTAGTAGTTACTATAACTATAGTCAGTTCATGTCTCAACATCCAAACGATATTCCTGAGGATGTTAGGCTAACCCTAATAATAAAATATTGTGACTAAAATTCCTGACAATTTTTGTTTCATACTTAAAAATTCATCAGTCGACTACTTACCCATATTTAAATTATTATAAATTAGTATATTAGTAATATTTTTGGTAAAAGAAATATTGTGAGGATTTTTTAATAAAATAATTTTTTAACTCAGGGTGGATTTTTGAACAATACAAGAATTATGTTGGGTAGCTTTTCGACTGGGAAACATTTTACAGAATTATGTGTTCGGCTTAAAAAAAAAAAAAAAAAAAAAAAAAAAAAAAAAAAAAAAAAAAAACTTTTTGATTAAAAAATCTATTTACTTTAGAAAACAGTGCTTATTTCGATATTGATAATAGACATTAATGCAGAATTAGGAATTTTTTTGTGTGTATGTCGTATTAAACTATAGAATATTGACTCAATTATTAGGGGTATGCTGTATCTAGTCTCAATTTATTTATCATTTTACCTAATGGTGCGCCATTTTACTCTTTTGTTATTCACTGATATTTGAGAGAAATATACCTTTATCCTTATATCTAGAATCATCCAATAATGTCTTAGACAATATGTACAAATCAATTTCATAATTGATTTCTTCATTTCATAAAGAAATGGATTTGCCGAACATCGACTCTATAATACCCTTTCTTTTATTAAAATAATTATTTTGTTTTTTTATTTTTCACAATAAAAGGTAGTACAGAGGAAGGTTGGTTGGTAGACTACTGATATCGGCTGACATAGAACCCGTAAATTGGAAACTCTCCCCCCCCCCCCCAGACATATAGGTTAGTATAAAAAAAAAATTCCTGATTGCATGACGGCTCAATTCCATCGCTCTATTCAATTCCAAAGCTCCCCCTCTCTCCCTCATCGCCCCCCCCTATTTTTTATTTCCTGCTGTTTATTTATTTTTCCCGACTTCATCCTCTCCCGAAGGACTCTAGGTCTGTCTAGTCCTTAATAAAAATAGAACAAATTGGTTTGT